CCCATCCCCAGGGGCCACCCTTCCAGCGCTGAGAGGCAATTGAGTCCGCACACTGGCTTAATCCTGTATCCCCTCAACCTGAAAAATCCAACCAGCTTCTCTCACTAACACTTTGAGGTTTTGGCAGCTAGAGGGACCTCCCTCAGAGACACTGGAGGCCTGGCGTGGGCCACACCAGCTGGGCTGCAAACCTGGTCTGAAGGCCCGCCCACTGGTGCATGTTCTTGCCTTTCTCTGAGTGGGCGGTCACCCTGCTGGGATGGCGTTGGCTCATGACTGGTGGTGGTCTCGTGTGAAAGCCGCCAGTCTCCAGAGGGCTGACACCCACGTGCATTTGCAGCTGATTTTGTCTGACTCACTCACTGAATTATCTGTCCCTGGTCAGGCCTCTCAGAGCTTCAGGGATTCTTGGGGTTCTGAATTCCCAATTTTTGAAGGTCCTAGTATTTAGAAAAAGGAAGAAACACCAAATAAGTCTTAAAAGACTTAAAAGAAACTTATGAGATCCAGCGCTGATGGCCTAGTGGTTAAAGTTTGGCGCGCTCCATCTCACCGACCCGGGTTTGATTTCCCAGGCGCAGAAGCACTACTCGTCTGTCAGCAGCCGTGCTGGAGCAGCTCGCACAGAAGAACCAGAAGGCTTTACAGCTATACACAGCTATGTACTTGGGCTTTGGGGGTAAAAAGGAAAAAAAAAAAGGAAGAAGATAGGCAACAGATGTTAGCTTAGGGTGAATCTTCCCCTGCAAAAAACAAACAAAAAACAACTTATGATATGTTTTAAATGTTCAATTTTAAATGTTCAATATACTAAGTATATTTCCAGAATTGTATGATATCCCTAGTTAGAAATGACAACAACAAAGACAAAATTGGAGACCTCGTGAATGTGAAGATTGGGCCGAACAGTTCCCCTGCTCTCAGCATCTCCCCGTCAGACTTCGTCTGCCCTGCCCCTGTCGGCTGTGGTTCCTGCTCTAGATTCTTGACAGGCACTTTGGTATCACCCAACTGCGAGGTACCCTGGGGGCCGAGAAGATCTTAGCCAGTAGCTTGGGCTTTACCGTGAGAGGTTGGTGACTTCCCTGGTAAGTTTTTAGCCGGTGGTGGCTGCCGTTTCCTCTTTATTTTTTATTTATTTAAAATTTTTTTTTTAACAATTGGCACCTGAGCTAACAACTGTTGCCAATCTTTTTTTTTTTTTCTGCTTTATCTCCCCAAATCCCCCTGGTACGTAATTTTATATTTTAGTTGTGGGTCCTTCTAGTTGTGGCATGTGGGACACCGCCTCAGTGTGGCCTCACAAGCGGTGCCATGTCTGCACCTAGGATCCCAACTGGTGAAACCCTGGGCCGCCACAGTGGAGCACGCGGACTTAACCACTCAGCCATGGGGCTGGCCCCTTTATTTTGTTTGGGAAATGCACATTTGCTAGAGGAGCAGGGAGCCAGGGGCCGCCCCATCTCAGGTGCCCTGCTACCCGCATCCTGCTACCCGCCACTCCAGGTTCTCTTGAGACTGCGGGGGAAGAAAAGCCGGCCTCTCTCCAGGGACTACCCTCATAAGAGCAGTGAGTGCACCACTGTGGCGGTCCTGGAACTTCCTCACAGAGAGTGATTCCAGAAAGGATGGTGGCACACACAGCTTCCATCTGCCCTCCCGCACGTTGCCTTGTGGTTAGGCAGGTCACGTGACTAGTTCTGATTAACAGGCTGTAGTCGAAAGGGGTTTGTGTCATTTCTGGGCTAAAGTGTAGAAGAGTTGGAGCGTGACCCTTCTCAGCTGTGTCTTCCCTGGATCTGGAGATGTTTTCAGCAGTAGAGCCTGCTTCCTGCAGAGTGACCCCCTCCCTGCCATGCACCTGAACATGCAGCAGGGTGAGGAGTAAACTTGTAGCGTGCAAAGCCTTTGGGATTTCAGAGCTCACTTGTTACTACTGCATAGCTTAACCTATCCTGACTGATACAACATGTATTCTAAGTAAATTTTATTTAAACAATTGAATCTTAAAATATTTAAAATACTCTTATGTATGCATATTACCATGTATGTGAAAATATATGATTAAAAAGTTTGGGCTCATAAAATTCTTTTGTGCAGGAAATAAAATAAAGCACAAATTAGCAACTCTTTCTGTTTTTTCATGTATTAAGCACATGGTAAGATTTTTACCCAATGTGGACAGTGGGATTAGGAGTCTATAAATCAAATTTTTTCTGCAGTGAATGAAGCTTGAAACAGTCTGTGGCCCAAGGAAGCTCAGAAAAGCAGGAAAAGGCCTAGAATGAGAATCTGGAGCTCCAGAGGCCACAGGATATTCAGAATTGCTGTTGGAATCGAGGCTTAATTCAGCTTCCAGGAGCTTCCCTTGCCTCTTCAGTCCCACGCTGGCCTGTCCCCTTCCGAACCGCTATGGCGGTGGTTATCTGTGCTTCACCTTAGTTATGTTCTGTCTCATATTGTTCATCCATTCTTCCCACAAACATTTGCTGAGCCTAGATGGGAACTCCGAGACCTAAGCTAGCCCTTAAAGACCTCACAGTCTGGTGAGAAGTTCCCTTACGGTCTACTCAGAGTTTCAGAGTTGTCCACTTTGCTCCCTCCTTCTGGGGAAGAATTATGCCTTTCATTTCCCATTTATCTGCCACACGCCCTGGCATAATGCTGGCAGCGTGGAGGCTGTTTCATAGATAGTTGATGCCCCTCTGCACTGGGCACATTCATCAGCCCGTGCATCCCTCTTGATTTTTATTAAAATCCATTCCCAAAGCAAAATGGTTCTCCTGCTTTTAGTTCAGATCCATTCACCCGTCCTGGATTACTATGGTCTGCTTTGGGTTGCTTCATGCTATGTAATTCTGGCAAAGTCATCTTCATTTTCCATTCCTAAAACTTGCTCAAGGACAGCCAGGGTTTGCATTTGATAGCAAGCAACTGTGTAAACTTGTACATTTGGCGGGAGGCTGTGAGGTGGAAAAACACCCGGCAGAAATCTGACCTGCTCATGAATATGCTGTCTGAAAGTGTCGTTAGCGTGAAACGCAGCATGTTGTGGGAAGACCATCTCAAGCATCCTCCTTTTCTCCATCACTGACATTCAACTTGAAATATACTCCTTCCATACACAAGTCAAAGCAAGACTTTTCCAAGTGTCAGAATCACAAGCTCAAGCTAGTTGTTGGCAGTGAACTTGGTTTCTTTTGCCCCTGGCAGAGTATTAGTAACCAAAGCACAGCTCGCTGAACAGAGCCGCACCAATGGACTGGAGCCCCCCGGGGGCGAAAGAGCATCTTGGTCCCAGCCTGCCCAGCCCTCTAAAGACATGTGCCCCTGGTCCTGAGGGGTTCAGAGTATGCAGTCAAGGATGACATAGCTATATCCCTTTTTTTTTTTCTTTTGTAGGGCAAAGAGGCAGCTTGTTCTCTCTGCAGCAGAAAACAGCAGCAGGCAAACAAGCAGGGTTTCTCAGCAAGCTGTACCAACAAGATGCAAAAGAGAGAGCCCAAGCAGGGGAAGGCAGCTCTGGAGCTGATGGTGCCAAGCCCCGTCAAGTCATCTTTTGCAAACTCGATGGTAATCAATGCCACCCAAGGGCACCAGATGTGCCAATAAAAACCTCTTGCACCTTTGGCTGAATGTGGCTTGAGACTAGCATTTGGTGAGAATATCTGTTGTTTCCAGGCACTCCAGACTGCCGAATACAAAAGTGACTCTTTTGATATTGATAAATAATGTGACACATGATTCCCCCCATAGAAATTGTGCAAATCCTTAATTATGAGGGCACTTTCTCAGGGGCACATTAGAATATTATGCTAAATGAAGTTATCTTCACCTTTGCCAAGGCTTTTGTAAAACTGCACAGTAAGCTGCCCTTAGAAGTCTCTGCTTTTGTTTGTAAATCATCAGTTCAACTTGCACTAAGGTTTCCAGGAATTAAAAAGAAAAAAAAGTCCAGAAAAAATTACATAGAGTGAGACTCCTAAAGTAGGGTTTTTTTTCCCCCCTTTTGGTGAACGGGTCACAAGATTGCAATTCTAAACAATCTCACAATTAATTCTTGAGCTATGCAGTCCAATTAGAACAAATGCTTCCTTTCTGCTTTAATTAGAGATGAGTACACGCCTGTGAGCTTATTTGTATAAAATAAGTGCTCATTAAACAGGGTTTGGACCAGGTTCAGCTTGTTAGAAAGGCCATGAAAAGGGAGCTTTCTCCCACTGTCTCTGGCCCCTTTAACCCCTTAAACGCCCAGAACGGATTTCTTAGATGCAGAGACTATAAAGAGTATCTTTGCAGACATGCAGTGAACTTGAAAGAGGTGATGTGCTTATTGGAACTGTGGGTAAACAAGCCCATCCTCTTTGTGCACACGTAGCATCTTCCTATCCTTTCCCCAGACACTGTAGAGGCCAGAAACCAAGTTGCGCATCTGACGAAGCCCGCTCTATTCTACAGAGAACAGGCTTCTGTGCGATGTGTGCTCCTGGAAGTCTTACTTCTCAGAGTGTGAGCCCCGGGCCAGCAGCAGCAGCCTCGCCCGGGAGTTTGTCAAAACGCAGACTCGTGGCTCCCCACCCAAGACCTAGAGGAATCTGCATTTTAACAAGATCTCCAAGTGATTCGTGCGCACATGGCAATTTGAGGAGCACTGGTCTAAAGGCAGCAAGTGATGGAGATGTTGTTTTACAAGACAAAGGGCCCTTGGGAGCCCCTGAGAAGGCCACTTCCCTTGGAGAGAAGTCAGCCCTTCTCTATGGTGGGGGATTGCCACTTTGACTCCCCAGACTCTCCCACATGTCCCCTCCTGCCTCATCCTTTGGGATGCTCCCAAGACGAAAAGGCCTCAGGTCACAGGGCAGCTCGTCTCTGTACCTGTGCCGTGGGCCTCCTACCCACCCCTTCAGCATGTTGCTGAGCCAGCCGCTGCTGTGTGTCAGGGCCCCTGCTGTGTGTCAGGAATTCAGAAAGGATTCCTGCCCTTGAGGGACTCCCACTCTCATAGGCTGATGCTGGAGGGAGAGAGACGAGTAGAAAAAGTCGTGGGACCCCCAGGCCTAAGATGCCACCAGCAACAGACTGATCATGATGTCCAACAGGAGAAAAGCCAGACGTCCGGGGAGCAGGGAACCTCTGCCTCCGGGGGGAAGGCTCCGCTGTGTGGTACCCTGCCACATGCTGGGAAGCAACTTCCAAGACTGTCTGAGCAGCAAAGAGAGCTTAACTCGCCACACATGGTAAGCGCCACCTTGATGTATTATTCTGCTCAGCAAGAGTTTGTCCATTTTTTTCTCATTTATTTTGTCAGAAAGTAAAACTTGGGTATAACAAAACGTCAGTGTCAAGAAAGTTACTCAAAGGCCTGAGGATCTCCATGTTCTAGCCTGTTGTTCAGTCCCGGCACTTCCTGCAAAGAGCCTGGTGGGAGAAAATGTTGATATGCTCCTGTTACACCACATGGTGCCCGAACAGGGTTGAACAGGGAGCAGCAGACCTAAAATTTCTATCCTTCCATCTCAGACTCTGAGACTAACGTCATTGCTAATCAGGGAACATTGAAGGAGCCCAGACCAGCAGGTAAGTTGCCATCAGTGAGCCTTGTCGCTGGCCCTGCTCTGACCTGGTACCCTGCTTACTGCTACTCCCTGGCGATGGCCCCAGCCCTGCAGCCCTCTCGACGCTGTCTCAGCACCGGGGCAGGACCAGAGACGTCTGTGCTAGCCTCCACTGCATTTCCCCAGCCGCAGCTCCAGCATGAGAAATGCTCTGGTTCCCCATTCCTGCCCCGACTCACCTTTTGCTGGTGAAACAGGAACCTGGAGGAAGACCTGGGAGCAGAACAAGGAAGGAAGCGTCACCCCCTCTCAGGAAGTGTGATTTTCTTCAGACCACGATGACTGTGTCATCCGTCAGCTCGTCTAATGGGTATGGGGTGGTGGAGGGAGCTGTGAGGGAGGCACATTCAGCTGGGTCCAGACCAAATCTGGAAGCATCAAGAACGGAGAGAAGGGTTCAGGCAACTGTGCAGCTTGGTTTTGGGAACTGGGATCAGGTAACCATGTAGCTTGCTGGAAACCTTGAACACAATTTTGTAAAGTTCAGTTGGAGTTCTGGTATAGGAGTTTAAAAATGTTTCCTATTTTTAAAAAATCACATAAGCAAAATACATTCAATGTTTAAAAATAATAAAATACAATTTTAAATGGTCAAACATTACTTGTAAAACCACCACTCTTAACACTTGGGTATATGATGTCCTTCCACATTTTATGTAGAGAGAGATACAAATATAGAGAGAAACTTAGAAATTTAGATATGGCCTAAAATGGACCCAGTGCCCACACTCATTCGTGTGTGCTTTTTAGTTAGTCCTAAACCAAGAACATCTTCTACAATATCATTTTAAATGACCTCATGGTTTCGTATTGGTGCACAGATTACAGTTAGTGCAGCTGACTTGCTATCATTGGACAATTAGGCTATTTCCTCTATCTACCTACCTACCATCTATGTTTTCCTATCTTAAACAGTATTAAACTATATTCTTACACTTAAATCTTTGTACATATTCTTAATTATTTCCTCAGAATAAACATCTGAATATACAATTGCTTGGTTAAAGGGAATTTGTATTTTAGGAATTTTGAGTCATATTGCCAAATTGTCCTCCAGAAAGCTGGTACCAGTTTGTGCTACTTTGTGAGGAACACCGTTCTCGCTCCAGCCAGTGGTTTTGGGGGAAAAAAGTTAGTGGTTTGAGGCCAACAACCAGGAGTGAACTTTTACCACCCACAACCCTCCTGGGCCTCTCGTCCAACGATAGGTAAGATAAAGTCTGAGCCTTCGAGAGCCCAGAATTCAGATGACGGCACCTGGAAGCCTTGTTCTTCTTGCTGGTCGTCCTGACTACTTGGGAGGGTGAATTAAACAACGGATCCTGAGGCTCTGGAGGGGACCTGGTGAGGGTCTTCCGTTATCTGTGACGTCTGAGCGCCAGCTCTGGGCACCTTGGGGTCAGGAGAAATGACCAGAAGTTCCACAACCGCCCAACTGTGGGAGCGGCCAGGGCGAGGGGTACTGAGCGGAGCGACTACAGCCAATCTGCCCGGAGAGCTTGGTGCGCGCTGCTGAGAGCCACCACTGCGGAGGAAGGAAAAGTAGGCGGAGTTTGGGAACGGAATCGGTGAAGCGCGGAGGACCATCCGGATAACCAGCCGCGTAACCAACCAGGGCACGTGGCTGCAGAGGGAAGAAACAAAGGAGAGCTTAACTTAAAAAAAAAGGTAAACTCTCAGGGAGAAGCATCCACAGAGCCCCCCTAAAAGAAAGTTTAACTAAAATATGTTTTGCAAATTAAAACGTTTAATAAAATAATTGATAAGGAGAATAATCATGATGACTGAATCAAATATCTCATAAAGCAAAAATGCAAAAGAAAGGAGGGAAAGAAGGAAGGAAGGAAAGAAGAAAAAAAGAAAGAAAAACAAGAAGTGAAATTAAAAGAGACTTGGAAAATTAAGATGACCTTGTATGCAATATTGAGGAATTCCAATAGCAAAAAGGAAATAGATGGATAAGTGATAAATACATAATAAAAGAAAACATTTTGAACTAAAGAAAACTTTTGAAATAGAAAGGATTCGGCAAATGTCATGCAGGGTTAATAATAGGATTACTGATAATGCTACTAATCATACAGACCAGACCAGAGCTGTCCAATAGAACTTGCTGCAATAATGGAAATGTGCATGATTCTGTGCTGTTCAGCACAATAGCCACTAGCCACATGGGGCTACTAAGCATGTAGTATGAGCAAGGAACAGACTTTTAAATTTTACTTAATTAATTAACATTTACATTTAAATAGTCATATGTGGGGCCCGCCCTGGTGGCCTAGTGGTTGGGTTCAGCATGCTCTGCTTTGGCGGCCTGGGTTCAATGTCTGGGCCTGGACCTACACCACTCATCTGTCAGTGGCCGTGCTATGGCAATGACCCACATACAAAAAGAAGAAGATTGGCAGCAGATGTTAGCTCAGGGAGAATCTTCCTCAGCAAAGAGAAAAAAAAAGGCATGAATATCTATTTGGAAATAATTAAATAATTTGGAAATAATTAAAAAATTAAAAAAATAGTCCTATGTGGCTAGTCACTGTCACGTAGGACAGCTTAGATCTAGGCATTTCGCGGTGGAGTTTCTGAAATACAAGCATCAGTGTAACAACTTGTAAACTTCTAGACACACACACATGCTCACCTTGAAAGTACAGAGAGCCGGATTAGTCGTGGACTTCTCTGCAATACTAGAAGGTAAAAGAAAATAGAAGCATATTTACAAACTATTAAGAGAAAAATATGTGATTAAAAATCTTCTGTTCTGCCAGGATAACATTCTTACGTGAGGACAAAAAAAAAAAAAAGGACATTTTTAGATATGTAACTGTTGAGAAAGTGCAGCACCTCTCTCTGAAGAAAGACTCAAGAAAGTACTCTGAAATATGAAGGAAATGGAGCAGAGATCCACGTGCAGGAAAGACAACAGGTGCAAGGAAATTTGATGTGTAGTGAATCTTCTAGAACGAATGATGATGTGACTGGAAGCTGTGATTGAAATATTAAATGAAGTTTCTTCAAACCCACGAAAATAGGAAAATCAATAATAGTAATCTGGGACAACAGCAGCAAAGCAATGTTATCTCTGTGCATGGAAAAGATACCATCTTCTTTTATAATTCATGGAATAGGGATAAAGATTGATTTGGTCTTTGGTTAGAATAAAGCCCTAACAAATTTCCAAATATGGGAGCTTTTATAGATCACATTCTTTGCCCGTAATCCTTCACCCCAAAGCTCAAAGCTAGTAAAGCTCTAACAAAAAGATGTCGCTCAAAAGCTTAAACAGTTGAAATCTTAGAAATGTGTATGTAAATACCTCCCCATATGAAAGAGTAAAAAGAGATTGAAATCGCAAGTTATATAGAAAAATTAAGACGAAACAGGGGATACAACAAAAACTATGCTGGGAGGAAAATTTGTAACACATAGTCTTTATCATATTTAAAAATAATTAAAGAAGAATACAATAAACGAAAGGACTTCGGAGAAGAGGACTAACAAAAATAAAAGTTGAAGTAATGAAATAAAAAAGAAAAAACAGACAAAATAAAAAATCAGTTTTTTAAAAGATAAAATAGATAAAATCATAGAACGGTGTGGGAAACAGAAAACAAAAACACAACGTTAAGAATGAAAAGTGAAGTATCATGATGGATACTAAAAAGAAAAAATAACTACAAGTAGATACTTTAAGCAACTCCACAGCAATATATTTGAAAAATACTGGAAATTGATGATTTTCTAAAAAAATATTAAGCAACAAAATGGACCCAATATGTAGAAGAATAAACATACTAAAAATCTACCTACCTCTGTTAATTTTCGCAGCTAACATCCATTTTATAATCAAAGAATAGACAATCCTTACGTTATTAAATTTTTCTGGTTTACAGAAAATTACGTAAATTTCCCCAACTCATTTCAAATCTATTATAACCTTTAATATCAAAATTTGAGGGAAAAAAGCACTGAAACAAAAGAACAATATACATATAGAACAATAAACATATGAATAATATGGCAAATTTTATATAAGACATTAGAAAACATAATCCAGCAATATACTGAAAGAATGAATATTACAGTGTAAGCCCGTAGGACTTACAGTTGAAAGAATAGTTCCCCATCAGGAAATCTAGAAACATCATCCTTAACTCAATTAAGGAGAAAAACCAAATAATGATATCAAGAGATTCTAAAGAAGTGCTTGATAAAATTTGACAGATATTCTTCATAAAAGCTCTAACTGAGCTCAGATCGAGTAAATGTCTGAAGACCGTGAGCAAATACACGACGTGGTAAAATTCTACGGCCATTTCCAATAATTCAAGGATAAGAGGGGCTGCCCGCTATCACCACTCTTATTCAACGTTGTTGGAAGCTTCTAGAAAATTAAATCAGCAGAATGTATGTTGGAATTAAAAATCCTCAAAACACTTTTTGTTTTCAGAAAATATTAATGTATTCCTAGAAAGCTTGAAAGATTCATTAGAAACCATTTAGAATTTATGACATTTTGATAATGTGTATGTAATTACTACGTATCATATTTATATGATTGTGTATATAAATATACAAAATCAACAGTTCTTTTTTCTGATAATGCAACAATTAGCTAGAAAAGGGAATGGGAAAAGTTCCATTTATGATAGGCTCAGAAACTATAAAATAACCAAGAATACATTGAATAAGAACAAAAAATATTATCAATTTTATTGAAGGACTTAAAACAAGGTAGAAGCAAATAGAGAAACATACCACGTTCTTGGAGGAAAGACGACTTATCTCACGTCTCAACCCTCATGGAATCACTAGTTACGTGGAAGGTACTTCCCACCAGGACCCCTCTTTTATTATGGGACATTAAGAATCGTACTTCTTGGGGCAGGCCTGGTGGCACAGCAGTTAAGTTCACACGTTCAGCTTCGGTGGCCTGGGGTTCGCTGGTTTGGATCCCGGGTGCGAACACGGCACCACTTGGCATGCCATGCTATGGCAGATGTCCCACATAAAACTAGAGGAAGATGGGCACGGATGTTAGCCCAGGGCCAATCTTCCTCAGCAAAAAGAGGAGGATTGGCAGCAGATGTTAGCTCAGGGCTAACCTTCCCCCCTCCACCCCCAAAAAATCATACTTCTAGATTTGAAATATATATGAAAGTATAAATGTGTAAGAATTTCTAATAAAAATTTGAAAAAGGAAAATACCGAGGAGTGGCAGAGAGGATTTGCCAGGCCAGATGTGAAAATATGTTATAAAACTTCTGGAACCAAAATAGTGTGGCATTGCAAGGAAGCGCGGCAGCACTAGTGAGCCCGCAGGCTTCTGGGAGGAGGCGGCTCTGGAGGGAAACTTCACTGACGGAAGAAAGACACACGGAGAATTTTTCAAATCGGTGTCTGTGGATATTTGTTGGGATCTGACAATTCTCTCACAAACCTAAAATGTGTTTTATTTTCAAAATAATGGCACAAGTAAGCATAATCTTATTCTAGGTCATCTGACGGCCACCGATAACTGAGAACTGTCACAAAATCTCCATGCCATATTTGCATTTACAGTCCACAATTGTGTTAGTGCGAAGCAGTGGTGATTTACTCACAGTCCTGTGCGGATAGGGAGAGGCATATTTAAAACACTGGTGATGTGTTTGTGTTGAGTGCCAATTGCCAGCGCGGCTCAGTGACAGCAAAAGGTGACATCAGTTCGAACGACAAGCATGACACGTGCTGTTCTCGGCGGCACACCCAGCTCAGGATGACCTGCCCGTGGCCCTGAGTGCCCTGTTCACTTCTGACCAGCAACTTCGTTGTGGCAACGCGTTGGGTTAATCTGAAGTTTCCTGGCTGTGTAATTTTATTTGTATTTAATGTGTAAAGCAGATTTAGTTTGACAGTTGCAGAGCTGTGAGAATAAGGAGTCTATACCTAGCATATGCTTGTATATGGTAATAAAAAAAATCACTTATGTAAAAAAAATAGTATAGCATTGGCACAAGAATAGAAAAACAGATCAGTGGAAAAATTAGGGGCACTGTAGAGAGTCTAGAAATAAAGATATATGTGAATTAAATATGAGGTTAAACAGCATTTTATTTCAGTGGGGAAAAGATGATTTATAAATAACCGATATGGACATAATTAATGATCCATATAAATGAAAACAAAGACAGACCCTTGCCTCCCCTACTTACGACGCTGCATTTTCACCAGTTTCTCAACCCAGGCACTGCTGACACCAGGGCTGGATGGCTGTCAGCGTGGGGGCTGACCTGGCCATTGTAGGATGTTTGACAGCATCTTTGCCCTCTACCCACTAGATGCCAGTAGCATCCTCTTGCCCCAGGCTGTGACAAACAAAAATGTGCCCAGACGTTATCAGGGGGTAGGAGAGGGAAATTGCCCAGGTGAGAACTATTGGTTTAGGTGTACTGAAGACCTAAATGGAAAAAAAGTCTTCATCATCATCATCAGGAATATCCCAGGACATATTCATAGGAGAATGTCCATGACTACATTTTTAGTGGTAAAATACAGTTAAA